TTTCCTCTTAGCGTATAATTTCAAATTATTTTAGACCGTGATATACCCTATGTAAATATGTACATATGCCTAACTGACAGCTTGGATACTGTGCCACAAAACTTGTAAATGTAGAATGCTACAGCAACGGAGCTGGCCATGCTTTGGGGCCAACATGGTTGCAGGCATCGGCTCGTATTTTCAGTTTGTACTGTTTTTTTTTTATGGCCCTTGTAATTATCACTTTAATGAACTTTGCTATTTTGATGGCGCCCAACAAGGCAAACAATGGCGGCGAGGTCCAGGGATGGGTTCGATCCGGTGTTGTTGTTGCGGATACGGTGGTTCCTTGGCAGGGCGAGCCCCTGGCGGAATACGTGCACCAACCGCCTCGTGCTTGCTGCTGACGGTGGCTTGGTTTTTATTAAGGAATAAAATTAGTGAGCGCGTGCCGAGCACGCCAAGTGGCAAGTTGCACGTTGCAAGTTGCAACTTGAAAATTGCAGTCCGCGCCACCAGCGGCGAGCAGGCAACACAAAGTAATGTGATACGAATGTGCACAAAATAGTGCAAGATAAATGCGCAAAATTTCAGTAACAGCAACAACAGGAAAAATACTATCGCCAAGGAAGCATCAAGGCAACGACAGCTAAATAGCCAGAGAGGACCCGAGTTTGGTTGCACAAGCAAATAAAAAAAGCTGAGGGATAAACATTAAGGAAGAGCTGCAGAGCCCCCATCGTAAAATCCAACAAAAATAATATGAAAAAAAGTCATTACTAATTTACAGTTTTAAAGAGGAGAAAACGATCATATTTAATCGCTAACATAATCAGGCTAGCATCAAATCGCTGATGAAACTCTGATTACAAGCCGAATTCATGTTCAGCAGGATTTTTAATAGCAATGCTCGATCAGAATTGATTTGAACCAAGAGTATATGTATGTACGAATATCCTGATAAACAAGAATATATATATACAACTATCCAGATGATAAGGATAGAAACGGCTACCATATTTATCAATAATGCATATATACGGCTATCCTGCCGATCAAGAATATATATAAGGCACCCTGATAACGAAAAACTCCTACATATGAATAGACTACCAAGAATAAATAGATAACTATCCTGTTCAATTAGAAAACATATATACGACTGTTATGACGATAAAGATTATGTTAACATTATTCTTATACATATATTTAACAGTTTCTATGATCAAGAATGGATTTTTACGACTACATATAGGACTTTATTGATGATTAGAATTACCGATACAGCTATGCTGACTATCAAGAATATATATACGATTAGGGTAGCCGTTGACCTACCCTGATGATCAGGAATACATGCATGCCACTATCCTTATGATCAAGATTGTAGGCGAAGAATAGACTCTGCTGATGATCAAGAATAGATATATATGACTCTACTGATAATAAACAATACATAGATATATGTATATTATAAGCTAGTGCCCCCAATGATCAAGGATTCATGTTCAAAGGACCTCACTAACACTAAGACCATATAATTATACATATACGTACATATAGTTCAAAGAGCTCTTCTGTCGCCTGAAGTCGCATTGTCACAACACGTTTATAAGTGGGAGCTTTGGACAACCGCTGCACAGTGCATATTTAAGAAGTCTGGACCCACTGTCAAGGCTGATCATTGACTCTCCCAATGGCGTTCATTTAAAATGGTGTCCAAATGAAATTGCTGAAATATTAAAAAGCGCCAGCGGCATTTTGTTTTTCGCGCCACGGGCCGATTAATCATAAAAACAGATTTTAACATGGCCTAGCAGTAGGCAACGACATGCGTGCATGTGTGCATATGTGTACATACATCTGTGCATATGTGTGTGGATATATGCGCGCAAGTATTTGTATGTGTTGTATGCCTCGCGTATCTGTGCGTAATGTTCAGTTCGGTTCGGCTGGGCCTGGACCTGTGCACATAAAATATGCAAAATATCTTGTAATGTGTTTATCACTGCGTATATTTAGCATGCTCACATACACACACGCACACACACACACACACAACCACAAAGCGACATTTGGCCACCGCCGAACATTGGCTGGCAATGTTCAATGTGGCATTTAAAGAGCTCTGACAAAAAAAGGACCTGACTGCACCGGTGTGTGTTTAACCAGCCTAGCCCGGACCTCTGCCGCTCTGCACGCACACACGCACATACACACACACACACACCAATAAAATTCACTGAATTAACAAATAGCTTTATGTCCAGTTTTATAAAAATTTGCCAGACGCTTGGCGGATTTCGTTAAATTTACCAAACGACACGGCCCACACCGGAAACACCGTCACGCCCCGTTCGACTTAACCAAGCAGAGAAAAACAAACGCCCCGCGGCAGAGTTCAAACCAAAATGGGCCAATTGGTTCGGTAAAGCTCTTAGTGGATTTTCGTTAAAAATTTATAAACATGTGTGTGTAAAAATATATATCGTATATATATATTTCCACAGTTGTTTGCGGTTACATTTTTGCCAGCATTACTTATGCTTTTATACGCATTTACATATCACATTTACCAACTATTTGTATTAACTGATCGTTGCGAAATTTTGTGGATGCATGAATACATTATATTAAAACCAAATATAAAGAATTTATGCGCTAGATTGATGTATTAAATTTATGACGATATCTGACAGCTTCACTACACGAAAGAGGCTCATGCTTTAACAAAATTAAGTATACTTCCCTTTTCGTACGAGTGTATAACAAGAAATTTAGAAGGTTTTCAATGAGGTTCATAAGTTACTTGATAGATATATATATATATAAATATATGGAAATGCCACCATTTGCCCGAATTATGCACTTGCAAAACAATTTAATATCCCCTTTTTTTTATAGTTCTTTACTACGCATACTTTTTGTAACCAAATTAAATGCCAGGCAGCGAATTTTAGACAATTAGTTAAAAGCTTGTTTTGTGAAGTTATAAAGCTGTTGGCAAAAGTTTAAAAATATTAAACAAAATTCTAAGTAACAAACCGAGAGCTTTTCGTTATGCTTGAACTTTAATTCCTTTACAACATGCTTGATGTTCTTGTAAGAAAAGTAATTTCTTATTTGAGAAAGCTGTTGTTAGACAAAGGAATACGCAGCAAATGGCTACAAACAATATTTGACAAAAGACTATAGATACATCCTGTTTTCATTTGGTCTCGTAAAACTTTTGGGAGATGCGCATGCTTAACTTTAATGGCGAGTCGCATCAAAAACACACTTTAACTGGGCAATATGAATATTATCTATACACAATATCAAGGCAACACAAATGCCTTAAATAATAATAATACAGGATGAAACTTTCGATTGGTGCCAGCTGCCACAGGCTGACGAACAAGGAAACTTTCTGGCCACAAAGGACCCAAAGATTTACTCCCACTGCGGGAATGTGGCAGAGTAGGAAAAAAGCCAGAAGCCATAAACTACAATCGAAGGAGACAACAGCAGAATCCTTAAAAAATAAAAAAGAGGAAGCACAAAAATCACACAAAATAAGAAGAAAAACAAAATATAAATAAATAAATATGTAGAATACATCCATACATATGCAAAAATTGCTAAAGGATTGGCCAAAAGTGAAACACTTTGATATGCATCTAAATGGCATCATCAGCATTGACTGGGGCGCCAAATGCGTCGACAGGGAACAACAAGACGGAGAATAACAGCAACAACAGCAGCAGCAGCAGCAGCAGCAGCAGCAGCGGCGGCGGCAAGGACAACAACAAGGATCCAAAACTAGGAAAGCAATCAAGAAGCGTGCGATTGAGAGACAAACAAAGGCACAATCCGTAGACGGAGGCAGCAAAAAAAAAAACAAAAACACAACAAGTAAGACTGCTCAAGTCGGGTGTATCCGACCAGGGGATACACTGAACACCGCACCGAGCCACCGTCAGCAAGTTTCCTTCTTCATCACACAAATACACAGCTAGGCTGCTTCTTCACTAAGCTACAGAATATTGCAAATGCCTTCGTGATTTACTTCGGAGCTTATTGTCCGATCTACGTGAAATAAACAAAACAAGATTTCAAGATCGATGCTTATCGATTTCATGACAACGGAGCAAGCTATCGAGCTCTTATAGGATCGACCCACTCATAAATACGGACCGATGAACGAAAGGACGCACTGGCGCACAGGCTGACGGATATGACTAAATCGACTCGTCTATGGGTGCTGACCAAGAAGATATATACTTAATGGGGTCAGGGAGGCCTCCTGCTTCTTCTTTTCTTTTCCGTTTCTGCCTGTTACATGCATTTGCGCAAAACCATTATGCTGCTTTAACACATATTCAATGAGTTTAGGGTATAAAAACAACCAGAAAAAGTGCAAATCATTTTGCGGGCGTTACATTTTATTTGGCATCCAAGCCAAAGTTGAGCCGGAAGACCAAAATGGTTGGCAGGATGCACAGTGGTTCAAGGCACATATAAAAAATATATAAAGTAAATGCAATAATAATTAAAATAAACTTATATGAAAACTCATATATAAATATGCATAGTAAATATAAATAATATATTATATTGACAGAGATTAAAAAGTTGACTGACTTTATATGTTGATTAATTTTTAAAAATGTAACATATATTAATGTAATACATATCCCACGTTTACTTATGTTCCGATATGCCTTCAAGTACTATAAGTATTGTTAATCAACAGAAGTTCATTATGAAATCAACTCAGTTTTGGGTTTCCCTGTTTTGTTGTAAATGGCAAATATAAATCAGCAGGATAAACTAGCTGTTAAATGCAAGAGACAATAGAAACCAAGTTTAACAAGTGTCAAGTTCACAGAAACCTGGAGCAACAATTGAATTATAATTTAAATATGCTCCGATTAAAACCAATTAGTTAATTATATTTCAAGAATTTATGTAATAAATATGACTATTTTAAGTTGAAAAAAAAAAAAAAAATATAGTAGAAAAAAGAGGTCTTAAAAAAGATCCAAGCAACTGCGTCTCACAGTGCCACAATATGATTCCTCCATACTCATATATTTGGCTTTGACTCTGGTGATTTGGTGGCCTTATAACGCACACGGGTGGGCGGCGCCGTCGGGGGTGGGCCGTAGTCGACTATTGGGGCGGAGATACAAACAGATAGGCACTGTAAATGATGATGATAATTTAAGTTGAAGCTGGAAACTTACTCCGGTAGACGTTATAGCCACGCTCATCGGCAATGTAGTAAAGCGTCTGGATCTTCGGCTTCTGGCCCGCCACAGGCACCGAATTGTAGCCCTCCTGCACATTGATCAGTTTGTCGCCCACACGCTTCACGTACAGCTTCATGTAGTTGACCAGGCCATTGCTGAGCACCAATCTGCGGATGGGAGTGAGTTTATTGAGATTGCAACAGATGGGCCAGGTGACCGGGCTCAGTGTCTGGGGGCGCACTTACTTGTGCTCCTCGGTGCCGTTGGCGTGCTTGATGCGATAGTTTTCCAACACATAAACTGGCTGCGGTTCGTCGGGTCCTGCAGTTGGCTGGCGGGTTGTTGTCGTCGACGATGCCAGCGGTTGTGTTGTTGTGCTTGAGGCGTTCTCTTCTGGTTGCAACTCATCAAAGAAATAATCAAGATTTTCCTCTTCAAAATCCATTTGCGGAAATACGACCAATTGATCCTCATATAACGGCAACTGTGAAGGTGTCGATGCTGTTGGTGCTGTTGATGTTGTTGTTGTTGTTGTTGTTGTTGGTGTTGGAGTTGTGGTTGTCGTTCCCGCTGTTGTACTGGTGGTTGTGCTGCCAATGTCATGCCCAACCTCAATATCTGAGGGCCAAACAACCAATTGTAATTCATAAAGGGGCTGATTGCTGCCGCTGCTGTTGCCAGGCATTGAATTTCGCAGGACACTCGCCGGCTCGTCCTGTGCCTGGTCGTGCTCGTGGTCCGCATCCTCATCCGCATCCGCTGGCTTATTAGTGCTGCTGCTGTGCAGCACGTTGCAGCCATTGTCCTGCATCTGCTGTTGCCCTAACGAGTCCATTGTCGCATCGAAAGTCAATTTGCAGTCAATGCGATGCGACGGCGACGGCGACTGCGGCTGCGGCTGCACCTCCTCAAGTGTCGTTTCAATGGTGGTCAGCTCCTGATGCCCGCTGGCCAATGCGTCTGTTGATGGCATTGGTGTTGCCCGGGCACAAATCACGACCAGCGGGAGGATTAGTGACAGCAGCGGCAGAGCGCCTTTGCGCCACATATATGATGTCATATCTGGCTGAAATTGCGTGGGGACTTGTGGGCTTCGATGCTCTCGCTCTCGCTCTCGCTCCCTCCCTGCGTTTCTTACTTGTTGTATTGTTGCTCCGCCCGTCCAGCTTCTTATATTTATACCCAGAATTCTGGCGCTGCCGCCATTCCTGACTGCGGCAGCGACGGCGACGGCGACGGCGACGCTTGCGTCGACTTAATCAACAGCTTTTTTGAAAACACAACCAAATTATTTGTTACTTTACCGTTATGCGTAAAGAACAAGAACAACAAAAATATCAGTAATAAACAGCATTCAGCAGAGCGAAGAAGCAGAGAGAGGAATATGCGCCAGAAACAATAAATGCAGCCAGGGCAGAACACGATGACGATGCTGAGCACGAAGCGTGCGAGCGAGATAGAAGACGGGATGAAGACGAAGACAAAGCGTGGGTAAGAGATAGAAACAGCAACGAAATATGCAAGCGAATCGAACCGGTTCAAGCCCAAAATTGCAATTGATTGTTTCACTGTGAACTGAAGCCCGATTCAAACAGGTTAACTTAAAAAACCGAACCGACAATTAATGTTTTTTTTTATATATCTGAACCACATCGAAACATTTTTTTAAAAAAGCGCTAGGAATACTTGCTGCGATTCACTTGAATTATGTAAACCTAAGTAAATAAATATAACAACCTGAATTATTTCATTAAAATATAAAGTAGGAAACGAGCCAAGGCTCGAACCGAAACCTTAGCTCATGTTGGAAAAAATACAGGTTCGAGAGCCGAGTTCCACCCTGCATCGAACCAAATAAATATGTTTTGGACTGTCAGACGGAATAGATACATATGTACACGATAAAAACTATTTTTACAGTCGCAGTCGTAGAGAAGTACTTTCGATAATGTATTTGCTCTGCAAACATTTTACGACACAATTGAATAGTAAAAACTTTCAAACACACCATCTATTATCTTAACGATTATTATACTTTTATTTTACTACGGCACTACTAAACAACATTTACCAAAATAACTTTAAGGCAATATTATTTGCAGAAAACTCCATTATTCCATCAACCTTATTGAAGGATAATTTTGTATTAATTTAAGGAGCGTGCGTCTTAATTAAATGCAGATCCACAAGCCCAAAAACCATTCGTTTGATGGTTCGAACCGGCAACGTACCTTTGGGTTTGGTTGGAAAAGTAAATTTTCTATTTATGCTCAAGATATGAGCCAAAATGGATCTCTAGCTACAATTTGCAATTACCAGATATGGTTAGATAAATGCTGTGGTTGGGGACAAAGTAATTTATGTAACGCAAAAAAGTACCTAGAAATATGTTTTTTATTTCTTTTTTTTTTTAACTTTTAAAGCGTATGAACAATTATTCATCGCAGGTGATGCAGCTTGCACTTTGCACAAAAAGGATATACACGTATGTGTTTTTGGGTAGTGCTCAGGTAATCGCTTTAGTAACTTGCCAGTCATGCTCTGGCGCCCTAACATTAGCTCGACCATCCTGCTAAGTTGGGTTAACTGTCATTTATTTGAGCGATCTTTCGTCTCAATATTGAAATATAGCTCGCTCTTTCGCTCTCGCTGTTTGCCCCTGGTCTTGCACTTGTCATTCTTGTCCCTGCACTTTCCATTCCTTTGGTCATTTCGCTCCAACATCATTTATAATAAGATTTTCATGCTGGACAGGCAGCTCAAGCGACAACGACGGCAACTGCGACGGCGACGGCGACGGCGGCGGCGATGGCTTCGGAGCAACCATTAACGAAACGCTGATGTCGACGGCGCTGCCCGCCGCCTCCGCCGCTGAGCTTTTGTTATTGTTATTGCATTTCTTTTTGCATTTTGTTTTTTGTTTTTATTTTTTTTTTTTTGAACGAAACGCTGTTGCCGAGACATCGCACTGTGGGGCGTCACACGATAGCACGTGGCGAAAATGGAGCAGGCGTTATCAAGATATAATTAACCGAAGAGTTATTGCGAGCCGCTTAAATTGGCGTGTGAAATTGTATAAATATTTTGGCATATATATATAATGTCTTACGTACAGGGTAACTTCCAGTTGCGCTCTCTTAGCTGAAGCTTTAATACAGCTAACAATTATTATTTGATTATAAATCAATGTGACTCAGATTTGTTCAGCATATGTATATTGAAGCGATGCTATGAGGTTATTTTCTTTAGTATGTTATTTAAAAAATAAATATTATGTCATATTTTTTGACAGCTGTAAATTATTATTCACAATTTAATCATATATCATATATGTAGGTAAAAATGTCACATCTCTGAACCTAGGCTTGAACATTGGTCCGATATATTTAATTCATAATTTATGTAAAGCAATGCATTTTTCAGATTTTCAGATAAGCAAAAAAATTTTCCATTGAACCTTGGTCGTCACAGTATTACATAATTTAAATAAAAAACAGAAATTTTTTTTAGATATTTCAAAGAGACAAAAATATGTTCCTCGTTCAAATTTGGCACGCTCGAAACGGTAACATATATACATACTTATAAAATGCATAATAAACAATATATTTAAAGTTGTTTATTTCAATGTTTACTGTAGTTAAGAGAATTTCAATTCACATCTATTAGGCTTGCAGCAAGAGCTATGCAATGGTTCCACTGTGCGACGTCGCTGCCTGCCGCCTGTGCAGCTTAGCTTTTTTTATTGTTATTGTTATTGTTATTGTTATTGCATTTCTTATTGCATGCTGTTGCAGTTGCTGCTGCTGTTGTTGTTGTTATGTGCCATAAAATATATTTTATGTTGAAAAGTATTTTTAAACTTGACTCTTGTGCCAATTTTGGTAGATGCATTTGTATTAGGACGCATATGTGTATACATATATTTGAATTATTATGACTGTGTCGATATATATGTACATACATATGTGTCATATAAATCAGGCGAGATGCTTAGCTAGGGCTTTGTCTTGCAATTTTGCTGGGCAGCAGCTGTTACACATAATATTTGAGAATGCAAATTAAATTTTTAACAGGAGCCAAACACAAAATGCGACTTTAATGTGCAATTTGTCAAAACTTATTTGATTTATGAGCTCGGCAGCGGCAACAGCACAAATAACAAGAACAACAATCGCCCAACTGTCAAACAAACAAACTTGCCAAACGCCCAGTCCCAATTGTGTTCCAGGTTCCGTTTGGAAGCCCCTGCTCCACGCACTACCCATGCCCCAATGTCCAGTCACATTCACAGTTACAATCGCAATCCCAATCCCAAGCCCAAACACTTCTGCTGCCCAACTTGGATGCTAATCGTCCAGAGCTTCGAACTTTAAAGCACAACAAATTGAAAACCTCACCCACAAAATTGGTCCCGATTACGTCCCCCAGCTTCTGTCTAGCAATACGAGGAGTGAGGAAAAAAAAAATGCTGCCAATTTCTCGCCGGAATGGAGACGTAGACATGGCACTGAGTCCGCCTTTTCGTGTGCTTGCGTCCTGGCCAGTTACATGATTTGGCGTAATCTAATTTGTAGCCACCAGGGTCCAGGGCTTTAATCATGCGACTGCTGGCCATTTGTCAGCCTCAAAGGGAGTCAGTCGTAAGAAAGTCAGTGAGCACTTAATTCCATTTACATATTTGAATTTAATTCAAATTAAGTTTTAGCTCAATTCACACAAACGGCTTTTCATTGGCTACGTCTCCAGCAGCTATACATAGCTGGAAAATGCAAAGCACACAGTGCTTAAAATGAAAATCCGTCTAACAATTGATTTTTAATGAGCAGCACATGTAATTTGACATGCATGCTTCCGGCATGCTGATTTTGTCATGCGTATTTTCAGCACCTTCCGGCAACGCCTTCCCAGCGGCTGCAAAGTCGTGTCAAGCTGCGGTTTTACGAATTTCAGTCGCAAGTGTGGAAAATAAGTGGAAAACGTTTATGTAAAACTATTTGGTTGTTCATTCGATCGAATTTGATTGTATTTCGTAAAATGTTTTACACTTTTCGCCAAATCCACTTCTGCGTTGTGGGCGAAAGATTGTTTTTATATCTATCTAAATTGAAATTGGATATTGGTTTTGGTTGGCTGGAAGCATTTGAGATAATTCCCATGACATCAGAAGCGCATTGGCTGGATACCTGTTCGATTTGACACACTTTGAGTGCATATTAATTAAATTGCAACTGGTTCCAGGCCCATAAAGAACTTAAAATAAAAATTCGTATGCTCCGGAGCAGCCAAAAAGCCATCGTCGCAGCCCATATAAAAGACTGGGCACATTTGGGCAACCAGACAGAGCTGCCAAAGCACCAAACATGAGAAGCTATCTGGGTTTCATACTGCTAATCAGCGCTGCGGCTGCGGAAACATCCGATAAGTTGACAACGACCACGACCACGTCCACGACAGCCAAGCCGGAGCAGCGCAACAAACGTCAGCTGGTAGCTGTAAGTGGCCAAGATCAGGAGTAGAGCATCAAATTAATAGCCTTGTATACCATATTCAAACAGAGCAATGCCGGTGTCGGTATACCCATCTACTTTGACAACTTCAATGCGAATCCGTCCCTGGAGCCCATCAAGCCGGCGCAGCCCGTTGCTGTGGGTGGCAACACGGCGGGTGTGCCGCCAACTGGCTTTCTGTCTGGCTTTCCGCAGAATATACCCATTGTGGGCACGCTGTTGACCAATTTGCCGCTCCAAAACCTGCTGGCCGGCTTCAATCTGGGCAACCTGGGCCAGCTGGGCGGCCTGGGTAATTTGGTTAATGTGGGCCAACTTGGCAATTTGCCCAGTTTGGGCGGCAACAAGCCGGGCGCTGCTGGCGGCACGACCCCGCAAACCTGCCCGCTAACCCAGAAGCTGAGCTGCCGCTGCGAGCCGTTGCTCTCGCTGCCGGTGCGCCAGCCGGAAACCCAGCTGGTGCAGATCCTCAAGCAGAATGTGCGCCACAACGAGAACGGCACGCAGGAGCTGCGCCTGGTTATTAGCAACGGACACGTTATCTACCATCGCAACGACAAGGATGCCAGCAAACAGCTCGGCTACTATGCGCTGCCCATCCAAACCGGGCACTATCTGAACATTCACTATAGCATCAATCAGACCAACTATACGATCAAGGCCGACGTGGGCAGCTCCCCGCCCGGCTCAGACTTCGATGGCTATTGAAAATGGCGTTATCCTTAAATACACTTTTTTTTTCTTAGCCTTTAACTTGCCAGCAATAAACTATTTTAAGCCGAGCCAAGTTTGTTGCAGTCGAAGACAGCCATGACATGGTATTTTTTATTCTCAATCTTGTATCAGCTTCTACACTTTTTCTGAAGCAAGTCAAGTCTTACTGCTGCTTGAACAAAACAAATATACTCTGCTTCAATATCTGAAAAGAGTATAAAACTTCTCTATTCGATTTCGGAATATTTTTTGGATTATCTGCAGTAATTGTGAAAAGTTCCATCAGTTCGAAAAGAAAAAGTGTAATCCTCGAAATATATTTTAAATAATTCTCAAGATTTTAAATTATTTTCCTACTTACATTCAAGCATATTTCGATTCGCTTCATAAAAAAAAAAAGAAAGCCAAAAAGTTGTTATTGCTATTCGACGGCTGGCAGGCAATTCGATTTCATTAATTAAACTTCCTTATTTGCTGTGCTCCATCCAATTTGGGGAACATTTTCGCGAAACACAAGCAAGAATTACATCACGTTGCGCAACAAGTTGGATTCGCTGGCATGGCAATTGTGAAAAAGGAAAAACATTTTCCCAATGCTCTCAATTAGCGGATGGCAAATGGAAATCAAGCTGCAATTGCAATGCCAACTTCGAGTCGAGCGGATGCAAAGTGGCGACAACGGAGACAACAAGGATGACAACTTGTGCGAGCAGCTTTTTGACAGGATGCCCCTCGAAACGCAAATTGCCACCGTTGTGCAACAGTTGACAGCATGCAAGACCCTTTTTGGAATCTCTCGATTCCGCTTGAAAAATGTTTAACCAAGAGGAAAAATACGAAATGCAGCGCTTAACCAAAGGGAAAACCTCGAAAATGTATTGTGCCCGCCAATTTCATACATCTGCAATTGAACCAGCTACCTTACTCTACATATTCGGTGCACGGTTTGAACCGCTGTCCTCTCGCTCTATGTTGCGATTCATCAACCGGATTTTCGACTTAGATAGGACCAAATTTCCTATAAAATACATATTATATTATATTATATTTACATGGAAATCATATATTTTTTTGTTTCGGTTGAGGTTAGAAATCGTATCGGTTAGCCAACTTGTCTGGCTAAAGTTTTATTCTCAAATAAAAAACCGGCAACACGGGCTCAAACCGGTTCAGCTCTAGGTCGGCATCGAGGAGTACCTCGCAATTGCGTTGCAAGTCGTTTGACAATAGCTAAGTACCCCTGCAGGGTATAAAAGTTTGCTGACTGAAAAACTAACAATCGAAAAAAACCGAATAAATATTTTAAGCAACATAAACAATTGCTGTCACCTTTTAAATAAGAGCAGATTTAATCACATCATCAACTTTAATTGGCTAAAAATCGAGACTAAAAAGTTCTAAAACAATTTTCTAGAATTTTGCGTAAGTCTTTCATCAAAGGTTTTAGTTTTCTGTCTTGAAGAGAAAGCGATTATAAAATTAAAAATGTTGAATTTAAACAAACTAAAAAAATAAACTAAATTTCACATGCAAAAGTGGCTATCAAAATAAAAAGGCGAGCTGATCAGATTGCAACTTAAGCTTAAAGCCGATTAAAAAAGTGCAGTCAGATGTACGTTTAAATAGCTCGCTTAAAGCTTTTTAGCTGTGTTTACTTTTTAAAGCCTACTTATGAATGCGGATTAACAGGAATCGCCTGGCCAGCTACCACAATGCAACTCAAATGTTCATGTTATCGTATTAAGCGAATTGCAGTTGGGGCAAACTTTACCCAAAAACCGTCAGGCTTCCAGTTGCGGGCAGCTGCAGCACAAGCCATTGGCTGGCGACAATTGGGGCAAGCACAACAATTGAAATCGCATCGTTTTGCCAGTGAATTGCTTTAAGCAATGGCAGACACACTCGTCCTAGGGATATGCTGTGGATGGCGGGCTCAATGCCACCTAATAGTGGCATTCCAGAACAAACCGCAACCCCAACCGGAGCCAAGCCGTCTAACTTTAAGCACGGCCAACAGCAACATCTTTAAGTGCTGCCGATTGGCAAAACGCGTCATTAGTTCGTCTGAATGCTGCTGCAGTTGCTGCTGCTGCTGCTGCTGTTGCTTTTGCATTTGTTTGCATTACCCAACTGCAACCAGCTTCTGCTGCTGCTGCATCCATTAGCAGCTATGCCATACGGCTGGCGCAACCACAGACCAAGTGAGTGACCCCGTGCACGCCAGTGTTGCTGGATTGACCGCGCGCTGGTCCCTGCCAGCCGGAAAAACAACAGTCACTTACCCTCACACACACACACACACACACACACACACACACACACCGAGAGTCACAGAAACACAGGCACACCCCACAGTTGGCCAGGCCCGAGCACCACCAAAACTGCCGCAGTGTGTGGCCAAAGCGTAACCGCGACTGGCGCGTTGCCTCTAACGGATGTGAATTGAGAGCGGAAAGCATCACAGGTAGCCTAGTTACACACACACACACACACACACGACAGTGGTCTTTAAAATAAATACACTCCTTTTTCTAGCAACAAAATAGATTCTTTGATCAGGCGCCACAAATCAAAGAACTCGCTCATTTATTGCACAGCTTTTCATAATATGCAACACTTTTTATACACAGACTTCCTTTGTTTTTTACTGGCGAACAGCTGTTCGCCTTGTCCTGCAGGACATGCACGACCGCATGGGCGGCTCCACCGTATCCCGCAGGACAGCCCCAATCCGGAGCGCCTCCCCATATAGTTGTAAATTGTCGAAATCGCAAACAAAAGCTGCAATTGTTAAAACCAAAACAACAAAATACGTACAAAAAATACAGGCACTGGTGTTTTGGTTAGGGTTGCCCGACTAGGCGATGCCCTGTATTCAATGTTAGATATAACTACGGAGTATAAAAAAAAAAAAACACACAAATTTACCGTTTGAGGTTTTTTTCTCCCTTTCATCCTTGTAAACTTCTTAAGTATCTTCGGAGTTTTTTGACCATCTGTTGAAACTTTCAAGAAATAAACAAATATATTTGCTTCCCTTCATGAACCTGGTTTTCCACATAAATATAATAAATATAAATGCCAAATAGGGTTTGCTTATTAATGTATGGTAACGAAAAAAATCCGTACGCGAACCGAACCCATTCCCATTGTGGTCTACAGGGTATCGACAAAACAAAAAAAAACCGATGAAGTGCTACAGAATCAAACGCAAACGCAGCAACCGCTAAATAAGTGGAGTACGCGAAGAGGGGATGCAACAAAAAATAAATAAAACCTAGCCAAAAAGCTTCGAACAAATAAAGGATCAACATGGCTTGAAGTGCACCCTACTCAACACAAGCATGAGCCAAATAGTCGCAAATGTCTAAGTACCTAAGAAAAATGATCAAGTAATAGGAAATAAAACTGCCTAGTGCCTAGCATTACCCGGCCTTGCGCGAGCCAAGTAGTTATTTAAAAAATTTATCACATGAATCTTTAAATAATTTCCCGCCTGTGAGCGGACGACAAGAAAGTCCACTGCTTTGTGGTTCGACTGTATTCTGAGAAAAAGCTGAGATTCGGCCTTGTTGGAGACCCAGTTTAAAATACAATTGAAGTGTGTCAACTTTTCGCATCAGTAGGAGATGCAATTGTGGCTACCTAGCCGAGTCCACAGTTGCTGAGTTTAAACCACTTTTCGAGCAGTTTTCGCGCAAAATAGAATAAACAGTAAATAATTCATTTGGCCGGATTGTGTTGACCTTTTCCTCTCGGCCAGAAACATGTAAGGCTTGGGTTAAGCTTTGATTTTTTTTTTTTAATTTTGGCTCGTTCGATACGCACTCACGGTACCGCCACTAGGCTAGGCTAGGCTGGACGTGGAGTTGGTGCTGGTGCTGGGGCTGCGTTATCTAGCCACACGAGCTGATAAGAGCGCGCCAATAGGTGCGGCAACACGGCAAGAGCAAATGGCTTTTAGCCGTATTTGGACGACGACAGACATCGCACGCAATGTCAGGTAAGTGGTGCAGCGACGCGGTGCAGTGAACTGTTGATTGATGTCTAAATTTGACCATAAAGAACACACCTGGAGGCATTACAGTCATGGCAGCGTGCCGCCCAACGCCGTGGTTGCCGGCCATGACTCGGACGGGGATACCATTTACATTGGGCGCGCCTTCTACTGCAACGACCTGCTGCCGGCCAAGGTGATACCGAACAAAGGCAAGGCCTATGTGGCGTATGCGCGTCAGGAGGTGGAGCTGGACAGCTATGAGGTGCTCAGCGGTCACAATTACGAGTGGCTGCCAGCCGAGAACGGCGCTGTGCCGCCCAGCGCCGTCAAAGTGGGTCGCAACGTTGATGGTGAGGATCTGTATGCTGGTCGCGGCTATCATGCCGGCAGTTTGACCGTGGGCAAGGTGCATCCCTCGCACGGCTGCCTGTATATACCCTATGACTCCGATGAGGTGAAGATCTTTGCGTACGAGGTGCTCTCACAGCCGGAACGCTGGATCGACACGACCGCCTCGAACATACCCCCGGGCGCAGTTCTGGGTGGCCACGACTCCAACGGCGATGCCATCTATGTGGGTCGCGTCTTCCGTAATGGCGATCTGCTGCCCGCCAAGGTGGTGCCGGCCAAGGGTACCGCCTATGCTGCCTACGCCCAAGCCGAGCACGAGGTGACCGATGTGCAGGTGCTAGTCGGCGCCGGATTCCAATGGATACCCGCCTCCCATGGCAATGTAGTGCCCAATGCGGTGGCCTCCGGTCCCAATGTCGACGGCGAAACGCTCTATGTGGGCCGTGCCAATTACTGTGAAAGTTTAACCGTTGGCAAGATCCATCCCTCGCACGGCTGTATCTACATACCCTTTGGCGGCGAGGAGGTCAAGCTGGAGTTCTACGAGGTCCTAGTGCGCACATAGTCAATACACATACATACATAATTGTAAACAGAAATGAAAGGAAAGCATTTGATCTTTTCAAAAAAAAAAAGTAGACATTGCATGACACGACTATAAAAATCTATTACCACGGGGCTGGGGAACATGGAATTCAGTTTATCGACACGTTTTATCTAGGGTTCCATAAATTACCACAGAAACTATTAATTTAAGTACGGAAACTTCTGACTGCGGTTTATAACCAATATTGATAAGACCCATTGGCCTTATGGGCGTACATGGTATGTCAGGCATAAAAGCGCAATTATCAGATAATACAAAATTGGTTTGTCATGCGCTAAGAGTGCGGCTTGTTTGTGTGTCTACAATGGCTTTTGAATTGTTTATTAAATTATCAATAAGTGCTGATTCAATTGAATTTCTAGCATTAATACAAATTTCCATTGCCTAAAAATTAATTTCGAATTATGCTGCGCCATCTGTTGCCAGTTTCGTAAACTATTGTTGCAGCGCCATCTCTTGTCTTTGTGAAAGTGTTTACATTAAAGGGCACTGGCAGCGCTGTCGGCAGACCGTTCTTATCGATAGTTTGATGCATACAGCTGATTTTTAAATTCTTAGCGCGCAATGTCCATTAGAGCATATGACTACTGCTAACAATATGCATTTATAAAACTATTTTTTTTAAATCATATTAATTAAAAACAATTAAAATTAATAACAATGATGCTGTGTAAAATTGCGAAAATAAAAGTGCAAGGCTGCCACCTGGCGGCACATAGTAATCAGCTGTCGATGCTAACAAGTAGTCGATAGTTAATCGTTTAGCGCTCACATTTTGGCATGCTATCGATTGCTTGCGTATTTATTCAGTAGATTTTTTGCGGCTCCAAAAGTCGGACGTGTTCGTGGTTATTTATTTTATTTTTTTTATAAATGCCAAACACCTGCAAGCAGAAAATACGTGTGCTGCATTTGTTTATAAGTGAGCGTACAATGTATCCGAATGCAACTGTATAAGTAATTGAGTTCGATTGAATACCAAAGGGAAACCGGACAACAACAAGAACCAGTGACAACACACAACTCCAACAACAACTCATCTACTACAGCTCAACACACATTTAACTCCTCTGCGCCTTTTGACACGACAACAAAGCAACAACACGACAACACAGCTCAACTGTTGTTGCTGCTCGCATTTGTTTTTGTTATTGTTGTCGTTTCGCTGCTGTTCCAGGAAGACACATAATCCATTAGATGAGACAGCAGCCGTTCGCACAAGTAAATATTAGTTTAATATTAATTTGTAGCATTTAAGCTATATTTCTATTCGCTTATATGCATATTGGCAATAATAACAGCGGCGGCAGCGCCGCCGGCAGAGCCAGCGGCACAGCCACTAACCATAAAAATTAACATACAACTTAAATTTAACTTAAAATCCCAACGACAATGCGACGCCAGCGCGAATGCGTTTGATACGGGAACATCAGCAAATGCGGCGCTCGCTGCGGCTGTGGGACTGCAGGGGCGGACCTAGGCCAAGCGCTGTCGCGGCGGCGACGCCGGCGGCGGCAGCGGCAGCGGCAACATCAGCGTGCAAAAGTTCTAACCAAGTTCTCTGCTGCTGCTGTAGTTGTTGTTCTTGTTCTTGGTCTTGTTCTTGTTGTTGTTGTTGGTGTTGTCGTCTTCAGCTGCCGTTGCCGCTGTGGCTTTTTTTTGCCTGCAGCCAATGCTGCCAATTTGTCGAGTTTACCGCCAGATCTAGCTATTTTACAAGCTCTTAAGCTAAGTAGTAAAAATGTTTCTCAAAACTTTTTCCGACTTTAGAGTAGCTGTTATTCCAAAAGTATTCATTTTTTAGCGTCCGCTGTAATAATATTTCGCGCTGAATGATACCAACAGAATTGTTAAGTAGTTTTTTTTTGTTACTTTTATTATTTGTTCAGTAAATATAGCGTCTTTTTTGTAGAAAAATCGTGGCTTTTACAACAATCTCCCCAAACCCTTTTTACGTTTAAAACAGTTATTTATTATAACGGTAATCACACTGTTAACTCTTCAAAAGTTGGCAGTAACTGAGACTTACATTATTTTATACTTATACTTATTACGCTTCATTCTTTTTGCATTCCTGTTAAACAAACTTAAGTTTTACTTTTCTAAAGTTGGCAACACTGTACTACAAAATTGATACTCTCTCGCATAACAATTATAACAGTTAGCCTTCCCATTATGCATTCCAATATTGATAGGAGCGTACTTTCACGCTTCCCTTCTTATATTTCGCTCAATATTAGTTACTTTTTTAAAAGTTGCCTACACTTACTGTTTGCACCTGTATATAATAGAGGCAGAAGTGTACTACGTAATTAAAACATACTCGCATAACTATTATAAAAGTTAGTCTTCCCATTATTCATTTCAAAGTTGATGGCACTGTACAATTTTTAATAGCATATAAAACTTTTTCCAGCATTAATTTTTCCTAGTTTACTTTTCAGAAGTTGACAGCACTTACTATTGGCACATGTATCACAGGGGCAGAATTGTACAACAGTATTTAAACTTTATCGCAGAACGTGAATAACACTGTGCCTTCTCATTAATTATTCGAAAGTTTATGGCATACTTGTTCATAGCAATTATAGATAGCATTTCGCATTCTTTTGAATATTTTTTAAAAACTAGATTTATTTTCAAAAGTTGGCAGCCATTAAACACCATTTGCACCTGCTTGTATAACAGTTCTAGCTATTTTTTGCTTTGAAAACTTTAGCATTTTTTTTTTTAAAGTTGGCAAAACTGGCTCGCCTGCAGCCGCATAATGAGTTTATTTATTTCAAACGTGTGTGTTGTGCGATGATTTGAAGAGTTGATGTGGCGCTTGATTTGCTGGGCACCCAGCCACGACCCTTTGCCGTGGCAGGCCGCCCGCTGCCAATGCTTATTGCCAGGGGCAACAGTTGTGGCTTATTTAGTTAAAGTTTATTGCACTGTTCGCTGTCGCACACAACAGTCACATGGGTACTCGCAAGTGGCTACAACTCTGCAGTCGTCCTTTGCATCCTGTCAACGTCAGCTCTTCAATATCTGCCTTGCAGGCTGCGTCACAACTATGGTTGTCATCGTCCGAAAACAATTAGTCGTTCCGAAAACAGACAAAAGCTTTAATAGTTCGGGGGAGCTACGGGAGGGCTACGTGGGACTACGTGAACTTCAAGCTTTGGCACCAACTGCCACTCTGCAAGTGAATTTGCCACTACATCTGCATGTCGTGCCTTCGTGTCCGTCTGTGCAACAATTTCGTTGCGTGACCTACTCTGTTCACGAATGCCAAATAGGGTATATAGCCAACCGCTATGATATAATACGGTTTATCTCAATCAAAAATCAAACCGCAAGTATTTCAGTTTCAGCCACTTTCGTACTCGAGAGCCAAATCAATAACGCCCACAGTTTTAGAGACAAACCAATTATGATAGCTTATTTTATAATAAATCATTCACCCGCTAACATTAGCATTTATAGCTGTTACAGTTATAAAGTCAAAGAGGCCTTGCGCCTTTTTGCATTACAGTTCAAGAGGCACAAGAACTGTGAACAGAGTATTGTGCAGTCGGCAAATGATGAACGGAACGCTTACTCGTTTTATTTATGTACATATTTCACTTGGCACTTGTTATATTTATACTCGGAAGCATGTGGCATGTGGCATGCGGCATGTGCAGCATCGCTTCATCCTCATCTTTGAACAGACGAACGAACATTTCCATCTCCCAAATGAAATTAGGCTGCAGCTCTACAGACGAAAGTCGGCTCGCACTGAATAACTCAATAAGTCTGCTTATTGCCATGCAAATTAAATGTCCAACATATATATATATATATCTACAGTGAAATCTACCTATTGCGAAAATCCACTCAGAATAATGTTTCGTTATTTTATATTAAAAGAAATGAAATCTCGCTTTTCAATTTTTAACATAAGTTGCTGATGCATCGAAATAGAGAAAAAGTTTTCTAAGACGACGCGAATTGTCGATGGTTGGCAGAGCTGTCCGTGAATGGAGCCTTCACTGTAAACAGTTTTAGCTGCCTAAGCTCTTCATAATACCTACTCGCCACTTGTTTAAGTTTCAGTTGAATTTCGCAGCGCACTCTGTAAAAACGGACTTATTTGTACTCCCATAATATTGCATTGCAAGAGCACGTACTGCCCATATCTCGCATATCGATGGTTTTATGTAGAAACTGTGACTTGATTTATACTTTTTTTCTATTTTTTTTATGCTTTTGTTATTCATTATGGGTTTTCATGTTTACATAGCTTGTATTTCAATCGTATTCAATGGTTATTATTCGATGCTTTACACCTTTTTGCCAGCACCCGCATGCTGCCCATAAAAAACCCTTTAGCATTATTAACAATCTGCATAAATATACAGGGAAATTCATAGTGTTATTTATGCCTGCCAGCAACGTATAGATTTATGTGTAAAATAAAATCAAAAATATCTCTTCACAATACCAGCCTGCTCAGCTGAATATTTGCAACGGATATATACCTACCGAATCGGTTTGCTATATAATATATATATATCTATCATAGATATTGATATTTTGACTTGACACAATATGTTACAGTTGCTTTAAGAATATATGTATATATTTAATTTATTCTGTAAAATGCTTTTTATTTAATTCCAAGCTAAGCAAAGCACGCTTGAATGCGTTCATTTAAAATTGTGGTGGACGATGCTTTCCTCGATTTTTTTCCAGAAAGAAAATTGCGCCACGAAAGAAAACTTTTGCGCAGCATCCTTGTCCCCTTCAGATATTTACATTATGCCAATGGAATAATTAATTTAGTAATTAGCAGAGGTCGCTTCCGGGTGTGTCTGAGATTTGCCTTATTCGTTTTTCGCTCTTTATGTGTTTTCCATTTTACAACTCAGGCACGATTAGGCTATATAGATTATAGTATTATGTCAGGTTAGCCGCACCGCCGAAGGTCGGTCAGTTGCTAGTCTTTCGAATTTTAAGATGTTTAGGCACTCATTGAGGCCCACATGGGCACGCCTGAGCTCTTGTAGAGTGTTATTCTTGTA